ACTTGTTTTGCTATTACAATTTCTTTAAAACCTATAAATACTCGAAAAAAAATTGGGAGGCTTTTGGAGGAGGCCGTTGGCCGCCTTTAATTTTTTAGCACTCTTTGAGACTAAATGAGTAATAAGAATTTATGAACAAGAAAATCAATATCTTTAGATTGAGTTTTGTTTTTTTTTCTTTTTTTTAATTAATTTTAATTTCTTTATTTTGTTTTGAATTATTGGTTCATCATGATTATCTTAGATTTAATTATTTTTAATAGGAATGATGAGCTATATTTATATAGATATTAATATGAAATTTTTACTTTCATATTATTAATATTTGAATGAGTTTTATAAGATTTTACTTGATTTTACTGACTATGCAATATTACTAATAAATTAAATTTATGTAGATATTAATGTAAAATCTTTACTTTCATATTATTAATATTTGAATGAGTTTTATAAGATTTTACTTGATTTTACATAATTTTTATTTTTTGTATAAAAAAAGACTTAATTGAATGAAATTATAATTTTTGTGAGCAAATTACAAAGATAAAAAATATGAGAATTTGTTAGGTTTTCTTTGTATTTTGATGATGATTTTAAACCATGATTCAAAGGAGTTTAATCTATTTTTGTGCTAAGTGTGCAGAAAAATTAATCCAAGGTTTTTAATCTTTCCCCACGATTAGAATTAATTTGTGTTCCTCCTTGTTTAGAGTTCTGGGTTCGAACCAATTTATTTTGGTTCGAATCAATCTCGAACTCTTGTTTTCCGAAAATGGTTCGAAGCAATATTTCTGGCTTCGAAACAAAAATTCTGGAAAGGTAAATTTTGACAGCTCATCTATCCATTTATTCTTATTCTCAATGGGCCTTGGGGGAACCATTGTCTAAGCACTTTCCAAAGTCAAGTCAAAAATAATAAAGTGAGGTAGAATCTAATTGGAGCATTTGTGAGGTGGCTTTGAAGGACTAAATAGACTTTAATTGCAAGGCTCCAAAATCCCCTATTATAATGATCGAAAATTCAGATCTTGAGAACATAGAGAAGAGGGACGAACTGCTATAGAAACAAGAGTTTGAAACAGTTCTGGGTTTCCTCTTTCTTCTTCTTGTAAGCTTTTGGGTATATTGTCTTACAAGGGTTTTTGTATTCTTCTTGGATTGGGTTAATCCTTGAAGGGGTTGAGTGAGTTGAGATTCACTTGTGAGGGTTTAATCTTGCACCCGCAAGCAAGAGTTTGTTCCGGTTTAATCTTACACCCGTAAGCAAGAGATTTCTAGTGGATTGAACTCTCGAGCAAGGAGGCTTGGGGAGTGGACGTACTCCGGGTTGGAGGAACTACTATAAATCACGGCTTGATATTCTCTTCCCTTTCTTTTTATTTTTCTGCACTTTATTTGTAAGATTGCAGTTGATCTCTATTTTATTTTGCACAACAGATTATGCATATATATTGAAAACTTAATTCACATTTTTATAAAGGAAAAGAAATGAGTTTTATATCTTAAAAATTGAGGGATAGCTAGCTGGGATTACAGAATTAACTTGTGCAAAATCTGAAAGTTAAGGACCAGAATTGCCATTTAACCATTAACAGAAATTGCTAGGAAGGCGAAAAACCCGACTCGATGATGGTATTGTGCGCTGAACGGAAGGTGTTAGTACCCTATTAAAGGTGTTGACTCCTTACGTGATTTTCACAAAATTCATGTTTAATTTATTATTTTGAGTGTGGATCCTACTTTTATTTAAACTAGATTTTTTAAAATCCTATAAATAATCATCCAAATTCAGAATGGGGAGAGTGGGTGGAGGCTGGTGACAACCTTTTTTGGGCATTTTTGGAGATCAAAATGAATGATTCATCAATAATAAAATATCAAAGAGTTCAATTTTCTTAAATTAAGTTTTATTTTTCTTCAAATATTCTTACGTCCATAACTATGATTTTAGATTTTATTATTTTTATTATAAACTAATTTATTTTATTAAGGTTACGATATAACTTAATCAATTCAATATAGATTTTATAATTTTATATTTTCAATTAAAGTTATTCGCATGATGAGTTTATATTATTGAATGTAATGCATGGGTAGCCTGATTATCTCCCAATTGATTTAGTGATTTATATATGAACTTGAGAAAAAATTACATAAATTAGACCAATAATAATATAAACCGTATGTTAGATTATGAGACCAAGTAATGATTAGCTCATATGTGGTAGTGGAGGAAGAGAAGAGAGTTAGGAACTCTCCTTCTTAACTTAGAAATTTTTTTTATAGAATTTAATACTTATTAGTTTGTTTAAAACTAATAGAGATATGATTAATTTAACAAACAAGTAAAAAATTAATTTAACTTGAGAAAACTAGTTAGTTAATTTAGAAAAATCAGTCATCACATGCAATAACATTCAACAAATTGGTTTTAAAAGTATATTAATTCAGAATTTATATTGATTGATTATGATGAAATCAAAAACTTAATATCTCATATCTTGATTAACTTTATTTTAATTGTTATTTTCTCTTTATTATTTTTTATTAAAGTTTATCCTCTTTCGATTATTTAAATAAATTTAGATTAATTATTTTTTACATTTAATTAATCACGATTCTAGTGGGTTCGACACTCTTTTTATTATTATATTATTTAGAGTGACTAGGACACTTATTAGGGTAATTTTGGTGCATCAATGAACTAATTTATTTGATTAGGATATTGATGCAACCTAATTAATTTAATATAAAATTTAAGGTTTTTATATTTTTAATTAAAGTTATCAGCAAAATAAACTTTTATTATTCAATTTATAATAAACTTTTATTATTCAATTTATAATAAACTTTTATTATTCAATTTATAATAAATTTTTATTGTTCAATATAATGCTTCAAAAGTTTGATCACTTTTTGATTGATTATATGATTTATGCATGACTTGAGAAAGAATTACATGAATTAAATCAATAATCATATGAATTATGTGTGAGACTATAAGGCAGAGAAATAATTAATATCATATGTGGTACTAAAAAAAAAAGAAAAGAGTTAAGAACTTCTCTTTTCAAGGTAGAAATTTTCACATTACATATTACTCACCAATTTGTTTTAAATTATTTAGAAATATGACTAATCTAGTAGGTAAAGAAATGATTAATTAGTTAATTTAGAAGAACTCGTCCTCACATATAATAACGTTTAATAAAGTAGTTTTGATAGTATATTAATTTAAAATTTATATTAATCACTTATAGTAAAATTGAATGCCTTGTACCCCAAGTCTTAATTAAATTTCTATTAAGGTTAAATACCTTAATTGGTCCCTCAACTTTTGTTTTTAAACCAAATCTATCTCTAAACTTTAAAAAGTACTAAAAAAATCCTCAAACTTTAAATTTTGAGACCAATTTGGTCCTTCCGTTCAACGGAATTGACACCTAGCACGTTAAGTTGCCAAAAAAATTTCACACTTTCTTCTTAAAAACAATGATGTGACATTTTTTTTTTTTTCATGTGTCATTCTAAGTTTCTAACCAAATTTTAACCTTTACCATTAGTACCCACCATTTTACTACCCCTATATAAATCTTATAAACATCCCTAAATTTAATAGGCAAAACCATAAGTTAAGCCCCTGAACTAACCCCAGAATCACTATTAAGCCCTCAGACTTTAATTGATGCATATAAGCCCCTAAACTCTACAGTAGAAGCAATTAAGCCCTTAATATCACAGCATCTTAACTGCTGTTAACTGCCGTTAATTACCGTTTGGGGACTGCCTATGGCCGATCTCATGCCTATGTGGCAAGGGATTTAACATTTGGTTTGCCCAATTAGATGAAAAA